GCAGCACAGCTGAACTTCTTCAAAACAAGTCCAGAATACAAGGAGCTTTTGTCATCCATAACGAAGCGTTTGGATCTCCAAACGGAACGCATCAAGGAGGTGGTGGCGATGCACTTCCGTTGCGTTTTGCTATCACACAGGTGGGAAAAGACGGAGGCGCTGCTGCACCACATCCAGGACAAGATGGTGTACGAGCTGGATGGACTTGGTGGCACCGCGAAACTGCAGTCGTTTTGCAAAGTCGCTCGTGATGCGGGGTATTTCTGGGCGTGGATGGATACATGCTGCATCGATAAGAGCAACAACGCCGAGCTTGGAGAATCGGTCCAATCCATGTTCGTGTGGTACCGTCACTCGGCGCTCACCATAGTCTACCTATCCGATGTCCCTCCTTCATCCCAACCTGGTGCACTAGCGAGCAGTGTTTGGAACGAGCGGGGATGGACCTTTCAAGAGTTTGTCGCTCCGAAAGTCGTTATATTTTATCAGAAGGATTGGTCATTATATCTCGACGATCGCTCTCTCAACCACAAAGAGTCCCAAGCAATCATGAAGGAGTTGGAGGGTGCGACGGGAATAGATGCACAGGCCATGATCTCCTTCCGTCCAGGGATGAGAGACGCTAGACAGAAACTGCAATGGGCATCGAAGCGCGTCACCACTGTGCAGGAAGACACCGCGTACTCGCTATTTGGTATCTTCGACGTCCATCTACCTGTCATCTATGGCGAGAGGAAGCAGAGCGCGCTTGGCCGGCTCCTGCAGGATATCGTGTCTCGGTCGGGCGACATCACTTGCCTGGACTGGGTCGGACAATCGTCCGAGTTCAATAGTTGCCTTCCAGCCGACATCATCTCATATGCAACCCCGCCATACTCCCTACCATCGTTGTCTGAAGATGAGATTCAGACAGCGGTCTCTTCGTTGCGAAACATTGTGCCTGTGGATTCAGCTTCCCAGTTGTATGACCTGCTCGAGAACATGAATACTCCGCTCTTCGCAAACTGCAGACTGCGTCTTCCTTGCATCGTATTCCGCGTCACGGAAGTCAAAAGGAGGTCTGGTCGTGCTGCTCATTCCACATATGAAGTCAAAGCAGATGGGCTTCAGGGCTTACTGATCACCACGGGCAAGACACTAATTCAGTTCTCGCGCGCAAGACCCATTCGGCAGACTTTCTTTCTTGTCCGTCCATGGGATCGTCGTCTCCTTGGGCTGCCTGATTTTTCAGAGCAGCTCACCTTTGCAGACGAAGGGGAGAGCGTGGGGGATTGGTCCGAGTCACAGTCTGGATTAGACGACACTGACGAGTCGTCCAGCAACTCACCTGGAGAAGAGGAGTTGTCAGTTGACTTGGATGTTCACTCACAGTCATTGCGTTTGATGGTTCACCTTGGGCAGGCTTTCAGCGCACTTTTGGTAGCGCAGCAACACGTTGGAGAATACAAGAGGGTCGCGTCGGACCACAATATCATTGCGCAGGTGAAAGACCCGGCTTCGATTGACATCATGAACATCAGGGCCCTAGACATATTGTAGCTGAATGGTTTTTTTACAACACGTCGACGATCGCATTATCATAGCCTCATATATCATACATACCCTGCAAATGACCCTCGCAGATACAAGATTTCAAAATTTGACATGTAGATGCACCATCTGCTCTCGAGGTGGTTGCAGAGGACGATATCGTGTCTGCATTAGAGTCAACATGTGCTACGTCTCGATTGCGACAACTGAGTCAGATTTGAAGTTCATCCACAATTCAGAATAACTACCATGATGCCATCATGTATCATGCATCAAGCTTTACTAACCGTGCCCACCCTCGCCGGCCGTCATTTCTCCAACGAGTGGGTGAGTCAACATCAGTCCGATGAGTCTCTTATTACGGTTCGTCAGCCCATACCTGGAAATGTGCCTGCCTCTGGCAGACAGAAGTTGGTGCGTCTCGACCTAATGATGATTGCTACGACAATGCCCGAAGGCTGTACCGACTAAACTACACAAATGGTGGGCAATCCCTGCCTGCACCACCCCGTTGGAGGGGTATCTCACTACAGTGCGTCAAGGCTTCTTTCCTGCGTCAATTGAGGCGCTTCTCTATCTGATTGCTGCAAGGGTAAACGTCTCTGTTCTCATAATTGGCTCGTTGTTCGTCCTAGATCAATGTCAACTTTGGTGTCCTCTTAGCGGCTTACACGACCAACCTGTATTAAGTCTCCTCATTCAATTCTGCCTCACATTTACTTCTACTTTTTTCTATTGCTTCGATGTATGCTGGTGGCAGAGCTTTAGTCAGTATGGGGGTACGAAACATGATAGGCACCTGTAATGTCCTGCTGAACGCTAAAGCGCAATGAGAAGGCGGTAGACAAGAAATAATTAGACCTACGTTAGGGAGCCGGAGTTTTGGCTCTCCTGCCTCAAAAACCTCAAATCCTGAATTGACAAATCACCGGGAGATTTGTCTAAAATAAGGCTGAGATATGCTAGGGTGTTACGGTGGGTCCTCCTGCCAGGAAATCCTCGTCAATCAAAGATGCAAAAATCAATGATAGGAATCTGCTCGATTTTCTCGTTCATAGCTCGGAGTTGGGCCAGAAAACGTTTGCTTTCCAGACTGAGCTCCTCCAACCATTGCTTGAAATGATACGCTTCACACTCCTGTAATGCGGGTTCTCAGTTAATTAAGGTTAGAACAAAATGTTAGTGATTTGTTACAGCCTTCCACTTGCGACAGAGAGCATCCTCCAACTGAAGCAATGACATGATGATAGGTTTCAGTGTGCAACCTAGTGAATAATGTGATGATACGCACCGATTTATACAGGGGGCTGCCACTGCCAGGGATTACATTGTCTTGAGTGGTTTACATGACTCAGTACCCAGTACTCAATGATGTTCTGAGTAGGAATATGAGCGAGAGGTGAACGTTAACGCGAACGTTTGAACGATAGGAGAATCACCGAGAACAAGAATTACGCGATCACATGACCGGCACATAATTAAGCGGAGTTCGATTCAGAATACCCATACTATCATTGGACGCGTACAGTCCTCTACCTGAATCAATCATCTGCCCTATCTGATACCTCGCATGCAGCAAGAAAAACTGAAGATGCTAGGCCATTGCAGAGGTTTATGCTGATAGTATCATATCCCAGGGAGTTATTGACACGGTACGTGGCTCAGTTAAAGACAACATCTAAACTATTGTTTTCCGCGAAATAGTATGTACACACCTCAGTGCGGTGCATGTACCACGAAGGAAATTGTACAGACTCGAGAGACGTCTAAATTCAATATGTAGAAGACGCTGGGCAAGCAAGGCAAGAGAAGCGCTCTACTTCGCAGAGTCGGGGAATACTTGTTAATACCTCATCGTGACCGATACTCACTCAGGCTGGAGATTCCTTGGTGGAGCAATATTCCGGCAAAAATTCTTCACATTTACGTCGAAAAACAGGAGAGCCACATGGAGGACGCTCAACGGGCCCGAGCCAGCGTCGCATACTTGATCGTATCCAGGAAGCTGCTTCTTCCAATCACAGTTGAATGGGGACGAATTTCTCAGTAAATTTGCTATAACAACAACTACGACAATAGGCCATCGTATCCTTTGGAAAAACGGTGTCCGCGATAGCAACGTTAACCTTGGCAGTCTCGTAGATACTGGACCCCGGACGGTCGAGTGACTGGCTGTCTTCAGCAACTTCGACTTATCATCGACTCGAGATACTCCCCTAAAGCAGGAGCGTGCAAGGATAGTACGCTTGGCCTTCTCATTAGTATTACAAAGGCAGTCATCGAAGGCAAGCGCCTGTAACAGCACGATGCTGAATCATTCATATGGGTCCTCACCTGGGTCTCTCTTCGTTACAAAAATGGAAAGCTCAGCCTGAGAAAGGGAAGGTCGCTCGATAGATGTGGAAACCGTCTCAACGCCACCACAAGAAAACTGGCTTCTTAACAACACATCATCATTACGTGAGACCCTCGCGATCTCAAAAAATCGGGAACTTGCGATTTCGCGTCTTCGTTCTCTCGCCTTATTTAATGCGGATGACCCTGAACGCACGGTGGATGACTAGGTCATATTTCGGACGTGACTCGGGGAACACATACTCGAGGTAACTTTATAGCGTGTGCTAGTCACAGGCTTTGCCTGGAGTCTACCCAAATTTCTTATTTCCTGGATAATATAATCCGACTTGAAGCTGAGGTTGCTTAGGACGATTTTACGATATCCTTCTTCCGATGAATACATTATTCGATAGGGTCGCTCTCACCTGGGAGCTTACGGTTTGTGTTTATCCGCGCTTATGCTTATGCCCCAAAACTATTCCTGTGTCGGTGGATTATTGGTCATCCGAGTCTCGTCGATAAGTCATAAGAAAGAAGGATCCGTTGCCCCTCCTATTTCCGATGTCTACTGGTCTCTGGATACATTGGTGTCAGACCTCGAGAAAGACGAGAATAGGCTTGTTTTATTCAGGAAGCGGGACAAAGAGGCGAGCGGCCATAATACATCAGGTGATAATGAGTTCTTCGAGTGTTATCTTCCTTCTGACAGTCTAGATTCGACAATCACCGTGGACGCTAAAAGTATTTGGGGTATGCTTTCTTTTATAGTGTTTTTGTATCTTTGAATTGATTCCTCAATTAGATGAAATTCCCATTCTTTCCAGTCCTTCATCGCATCCAGATCTACTCTTGTCCAAATATAACTCTCGTTGCCGCCGCCACCGGTACCGATCCGCGTGACAAGAAGACTCGACGGGTTTGGAGCAAACTCCCATGCAAGAGTAAGTGTTCGTTCAGTAGATGGCGTGTTTGTCGAATCATGTTATCACAATTGAAGACCACAGCGACCTTTCAGGGATAGTTCTGAATTTTCCAGGATACGGAGAACCACGGTCAACATACATGCACGCAGATACTGCTCAGAGAGGCGTTCGTGCCATAGGCTTGGCCCACAAATTGCCAATCAACGAATGGCAATCGTTGTATTACATAATCAACGTCTTGGCAAACTGGGCGGATAATTATAAACCATGAGCTCCCGGTGTGAGCATTCCTATTCTATCAATGGTTGGCTAACAGAGGCCTCAGACGTCAGCCGACTTCTTGGCGGCTGACTTGCTGGAACCATTGACATGGGTGAGGCTGACTGCCTCATGCGCATAAGTACCCTAGCCCCTCTTGTCCTGAACTTGGAAGACACGACAAATGGCTGTCGCTGAAGATGCGTTCAAACTCCTCGGTAGAGTTGCTGATGCTTTCGACGATCCTTCCTCTTGCGAGTCACGCAAAGAATTCCGCGTAAACACCATCAAGATACGCAAGCCCCAGACAGTATGATGCAGTTTCACCGTGCACGTCGGGGGCTAACATCATGATACCTACCCATCAGAGTCGCTCCAGTCAAGAAAGTCAAGTTCAGCATGCTTGCTATGCCCGCCGCGAGCCCTCTTTCTTCGACATCAGCTATATCTACGACGATGACGAACTCGCCGATATGGCATCGATGACTGCAAACCGTTCATGCGCGTCGTCGTCTGAGACAATCAGAAGCCTCGCCGGAATCACCTCGCATGACGATGCGTTCTATGCCTGTGATGATACCGTTGCCTTGGTATTTCTATATCTATCTTAACATAGATCGCATCTAACAATTTTTTTTCAATAGGATGAATCACCATGCAGCGAAATGACCAAGATGGTCCGTGGAATTTGTTCAGCATCTCCTGATTTAACCAACGCCTAGTAGCTTTCTCCCAGCAGCAGTCCGCTTGATAGACTCAACAACCTTGCTCGTGCCGAACTCAAGAAGACCGGCTGGTTCGAGCGACCGTACGTACATACAAATTATTCTAACCCTCACTCGTTCATTTTCTTCTAGTGACCAGTGGTCCATCGTCAACATGGGCCTTTCAAGTCCAATGACGCACACACGTGGACCCATATCTCCCCCAAAAACACCTCCAGCCACCCTCTCGATTCTCCCCTCCACACTCGCCATCACCACCGTCCCGCTTCCATCCTTCGCCCAAATACCATCCCCGGATTCACCCATGCAGACACATTCCCCCTCCTCCTTCAAAGCAAGTACCCCAAACGGCAAATATAGCTCGAGCTCGCGTGATAGTTTTCCTGACTTTAGCACGCTATCGTACGCCCCACGCAGCGAACCCGAGCCACCGAGACGTTTTGGTGTGAGTAGCCGCGTCAAGCAGCTCATGAAGCGCGTCTTGCACGTTAACGTCGGCGTGCATCCAAGCAGGAGATCAAGACAATCTTTGCTTGTGGGAGTGGGCTTGCGGCCTGCTTCTATGGCCGGAGCGTCTTCGGGTACGTGGGCGTTTGCTAGTATTGGATCTACGCATACTCAAGCGGGGAACCGATGGAGTGGGCTTTGGCATTGATGTTCGACTCAGATTCGTTCATGATTTCTTTATTGCATTATTTTCTCGATTACTATATTCAAAATCCTCCTGTTCACTGCAGGCGGTTCTGTGGTTTACGATCAACTGGTCTTCATAAGGGTGCATATGCTAGAGATATACTCTAATTAAGTATACGACTCCTCCCTAACAATACCATTACAAATTACATCTCGAAATGATGGCATGTACAATAGCTCAAGTCCATGTGTGAAGTCATACAAAAACCAGATGGTCATGACACAAACCCGACCCCATCCTATATCAAAGCCTGCTCGACATAGAACTCCCTCGCATCAGCCAACTGCTCAGTCAGCGTCTCCAACCAAAGCTCCTGCACAATCCCCTTCTCCTTCGCCCACGCATCCAACCTCACGCTCTTAACAGTCATAGCAAACGCAGCGCTCACAGGTCGATGATCGCTCACATTCGCCTCGTATCGTCTATAATGCAGCTGCTTCACACGTTCCGGGTCTCTCGAACGCCAAAGCACACGGTCGCACCAAGCCGGCACCCGTTTTTTCTCGCTCGTGTCGAACTCGTTGGAGCGGCGGTCATATTTGTAGGTGGGGGAAAAGGTGAGAGGGCCTTCGCGGAAGGAGCGGAGGCGGAACCCGCGGTTGTGCTTCATTTCTTTGAGGAGTTGGTCGTGTGTGTGCAGGGCTTCGAGGTCGCCGGATTGGATGGAAGAGATCACGGCGTCACGGCGTTGGTCAATGCGATAGTTTAGGTCGCCGTTGAGCTAAGAAACGAGCGTTTAAGGTACAGATTCAGTGAAAGGAATGAATTTAACGCACGAAGACGATCTCGTGATCTAGAACCATGGACCCATCTCCCCCACCGACGTACGCAAGAGACTCCTCGATAGCATCCGACGACGGAAACACAGACTTTTCCTCTAACATCGCAGTCACATCTGCATTACGCTGTCGTACGTGATGCTGCCCAGCAGCAAGATGGCAATTGATGAAACAAATCGAAGAATCTCCAATCACGAATCGCGCGACAATGCCTCCCTGCATACATGTCATCAGCATGCACTTCAATAAAAACAAAAAACAAAAACTCGCGCACCTTATTACCGTACCTCCCACCCATCCCCCGCTTGATTGTCGTTATCGCTACATTCTTGAGCGCAGCCTTCTCCGAGTTCTTCACGAACATGCATGTAAAAAGCCCGACGAGACTCTCGGTATGTATAACCGTATAGCCCTCCGCAAGCGCGCGAACCTCCCTGACAAGCCGATCATGCCATCGCTTATAACTTGAAGTCACTTTCTCTGATATCTTGCCCTCCTCACCCTTTTTCTTTCCACCTAGTAATACAGTCTTTGCAGCCATCTTTCGGCTTTCGAGGTCGATGAGCTCTTGGAATCCGAAGGAGATGATGTCAGGTGCGGGCGAGACGGATGTGAGAGCGTCGTTAAGGAAGGTAAGGTTTGCTGCATCGTCGGTGAGTGCTTCGGGTTTGGCGGCATCTACGTTCCAGGAAACAACGAGGACGTTGATGGTGCGGAAAGTGCTAAATTCGCGCTCGCGCTTCAAGAGCTCGTTACCTGCCCCAGTTCATCAGTTCACATCCGTGATTAAAAAACACAGCACGCACCAATCCAATCAATCCCCAACAACCCATCCCAAAACCTCATCTGCTCATCCCTACCAACACTCACCACACTCAACTTCTCCTCTTTCTCAATCGACCATGGATCCACGAATATACGTGTAACTGGTAATCCAGAATGCGCGTTCCATGCGTTCGTTACAACCCAAGGGCGGGACGATACGTCATACGCGCATATAACGCCCGTGCGTCCACCAGCCCACAAACGCATCCCGACACCTTCGAGACTCAGCACGTCCGACGAGCTCACTTTGACTATGTCCGTGCACTCGGGTCCTGCAGGTAAACTCCAGATACTGATAAATCCACCCTCATGTCCGAGATAAGCGAACCCTGGATGTGATTGGAGGAGCGTGCCACTTGTTATTGCGCCGACATGGTGGGTGATGTTCGGAAGGACGCTTGCGGTACGTGCGATGCTGCCTGGGGTAAAAACATCGTAGATCCTGACTATGGGTACTGTCGTGGGTCCAGAGCCATTGACGTCGCTGCGTACGCTCGTCCAGAGAAGACCCCCAAGCAACTTTACGAATTCTTGTTTTTCTGCGATGCGGTACACCCGTGGGGCGGTATATGTGAGACTTGGGACTTCGGAGCCGGATGTAGTTGTGGGTTCGAATACGAGCACTTTACCGCTTTCGTCCACGCTGACCATCGCATTGCGGTGTCGGAATATATGCGTCACGACACCCGCATGGACACTGAACTTCGACCCTGTCACTTTTCCTGAATCCATATCCAGCTCGATCAAATGCCCTTCCTTCGTCCCAGCCCATACCACACCACCTGCACTGCCAGCCCGAAACTCAAGCGCAGTCACTTTCGCATCGCGCACTCCCATTTCCTTCGTGTCTCCCACCCATACGGGCACATCAGCGTACCGCGCGAGATCGAAGCAGCGTAAGTGGTGATGAGTAGCGACGAGTACGCGTGTACCAGCTACTACTACTTGGGCTGCGTATGCAGGAACGTGCATCTTTGGAGTGCGTAGGGTGGGTGGACGACGGGATGCACGACTCGCGTCTGGAAGAAGCATGCGAAGGTCATCGCCTCCCTCTTCTGCACCGGATTCTTCGTCTGATGAAGGCGTGTGTGTGCGTCGTGCAGGAGGGAGTTTGTCGCCTGGTGCGATCGTACGTGTTGGTGGAGGTGGCAGTTTGCTGCTTCCGAGGGGTTTGCTGCTTCCGAGGGATTTGCGGTCGGAGATGAAGTCCGTGGGTGAGGGTGTGCTTATGATCATGCTATGGCGTGCAGGGAGGGAAGGAGGGGGTAATATAACGTCTGGGATATCTTCCGGAGTTGGGCGGCGTGAGGGAAGGGGAGGGGGACTGCTGGGGGTAGGAGTTGAGCTGGCTGAGGAGCTGCGGCTATTTTCGTTTCCAGCCCGTCGTGGAAGGGGAGGAGGGGGGACTGTCAGACTTGGCCGTGAAGGAAGTTTGCGTGGGGGCGAAACGCTTGCTACGCTGTCACTTGAACTGCTGATGCTGTCTGAGTGTCCGCGGGAGTGGCGTCCACGAAGGGTAATTGCCGGTGGCAGTGATATCTCAGAACTCTCACATTCGTCATCGGAGAAGGGGCTATGTCTTGATGAGCAGTTGGAGCTGGCATTATCAGGTAAATCATCGCCAGTGTCAAAGAGAACAGAGCGATGAGGCGGGGGTGGAGGAGGAGGACGGCGAAGGGTCCCAGTCATTGGTGGACTGGGTGCAAGAATGTTGGGTTCTGAATGGGATGTGAGATTGTCATTACGCGGAAGGTGTTTAGGTGTGGACTGGGGTGTAGGGTGAATTAATCTACTTCAACGGTATTAGCGCTTCCCTTTCGAATGCGGAGGCAACAACTCACGAGAAACGGTTTCTAAGAGAAGCGACACCAGTCATGCGGGGTGATTCGGGCGCGTCAAAATATTCGTCAGACGGAGTATCTTCCGGGCTTAACACTGACTGAGGAGACAATAAAACAGGTCGATGCAGGAGTGGAGGAGCGGAATCGAGGACGTTTGGTTCGCTTTGAGTCAGTAAAAGGGAAAGTCGTGGAGCCGGTTTTATTGAAGCTCGATGAGGAGAAGTCGCTGCGGTTCTAAGAAAGGTAACACAGAAAAGCATTTATGGGGTTCGCGGGCGATGACATGGCTAGAACACTTACGTGAAACGTTCCCTCAATGAAGCCACTCCACCACCACGAGGAGTATCGTCATCGTACGCGTTGTCTTGGCCAGACACTGACAAATGTTCTGGACTTGCGCGTGGTGATCTGAGAGCAGCTGGTACTGGCACAGGTCTCAACAGCGGGGAAGCAGCAGGTGATTGAATTGGTTTTTTGGCTGAGCGAGATGGCGGGGGCGGTGGTGGTGCACGCTTTTGGCCTGGACTGACATCAGAGTTGGGCAAAGCGTTGCGCAGCTCACGTTGTTGTACGTGAGAGTCCGAATCCCTACACTGCTGGCGAGGCGATGTAATAATTGGGTTGTTTGATTTAAGTGGCTTGCCAGCTGTATTATCCTGTGCAAGCTGCTCGAATCTGCTCTTTAAACTCTTGATGGAGGGAGTAGGTGCAGACTCTATTCCAAGTTGATCCTCGGCCATGACGGGTCACCTGAAATGAATGAATCTTCTCGACGTCCGAGTCCACCACTCTTCGGAACCTTGTTAAGCGTCGTCTTCGAGCGACTGCGCGAAATTAATAAGAGCTACTGCTGGCAATTCGTCGCTGTCGTCGGCGTCGTCGAACTCAGTTCGCGAGTGGGACCACCTTCATGAAAGTACTCAGGTGAATGACTACCATTTTTAGCCGCTCATACCTAAATTTGATTTATCCAGGGAACACTTTCTTTGCTTCGCACAGTCACCAACTGGCAACTATGTAGGCTACAAACACAGAGACAACCCCGGTTACTCGTTTCTCTTCCGGACTGTCAAGACACATATCCCGTGTAGACCTCAATACCATGACATCCAACATGCTTGTCGAGCGTCTTTAGTTTGTGGGTGCGGGCGACCCTTCGAATTCGATGGATCTTATAATGGCAGATAGAGTTCAGCTGTTGAGTTCTACTAGTCTGAACTTGGTTTGAACCGTCTTGCATACTATCTATTTCGTACTAAATTCATCTTGCTTCGGGGCTTAGGAAATCGTCTTCTTTCTACGAACGATTATCTTCTATCCAAATACTATCCAAATCAATACAAGTCTGTCCCCACACATGCCTGATCCTCCCCCTGTTCGACTGCGGGCCGTACCTAAACGTGTATTGTACAGTGCTGTAACAACACACCATTTTTTACCTATTTAACAGCCTGAGTATCTCCCTTGGGCACCCAGACGAGTCTTATCCTCCCCTCGTCCCAGTATACCCTACTGCTCCATGTCGTCATCTCTTCCAGGAGTCCACGGTTCCCATATGCACCTACCAGATCAAAATGACTCGAACGACCGTCATGTTCAACAGCTTCATGCCCATTCTGCCATCCCAGACGACAACCTCCAGCATGAAATTCAGG